CCCCAAAACCCCAAAACCCCAAAACCCCAACCTGATTTAATTTTTTGACCGATAATAAGAATAATATTTAATGAAATCTTCAAAAATGAGATCAGATATTCCGAGAAAGAACCCAGTTATACGCAAAGTAAAGATAAGTTTAATCAGCTCATACTGGCTTATGACAATTGCTGATACATCCATGTGCTTACCACAGCCCTTTGTTTAGATCTTTCTGTGAAAGTAGAAACCTTAATTTTAGAGCAAAAATATCACAAAATTACATCCTGGAGTAAAGATAGTTAATTATTTAGAGAAAGTTAGAGGAGTTTAGACTCCTTTTTTAGCATAAATTGGTAGGTATTTGTTGAGAAATTAGTTTAGCATAATTGGCAACCATATCTTTAGAGTATATCGACTTTTATGAAATCACTGGTATTGATAATGGTCATCACAACTTCTAAAGCCATGCATTCATACAATTTTGTAGATAATAGTAAGTATTTGTACAACCTCTACAAATAAAGTGTTGAAATTTAGACCAGATTGGCACAGAAATTGATGATAACTGTGAACATAAAGAAATGTGGGTCGATAGCAAATTTGTGAGGTACATCAGAATTGGATCAGACAAAGGCTTTATATGAGGGTGGGTTAAGATCCTCTCTAGTTTTGAAGAGAATGAAATCCTCTCTCTATCTTTAGACAAACTAGAGAATACCCAAGTTGAGATATTTGAGCAGAATGAGGGTATTCTGATGAGGCAATTAGTAATTTTAGTATCAGAGAATGTCAGATTTGAAGTGCCAATAAAGAAACAGACTGAATATTATGTTATTATCAATGCTGTGGGATCTAGCCCAAAAGCGATAGTAGCCTTGCAAAAGAGGATTAATGAAACCAAATAACGATGATGAAAGCTATCAAGATGGGTTTTTAATATCTTTTATTTCTCTTTTGATACTTGTTGTTTGAATTCTCTCTGTCGAATTCATGTATAATCCAATAGATAACTGCAAAGCAATTTGCTCATGGATCACTAGGATATTTAGGAGATATTTTAGATCATCAACACACAGGGAAGATGATTTTTATGTAAGATTAGAGGATTAAATAATCTATTATTTTCAATATTTTAAGATCTATAGGGGTTTTGGGGTTTTGGGGTTTTGGGGTTTTGGGG